TTGCACAATAGTTAAGAGCATATGCGCTACATTGGTGAAATGTCTATTTAAGTCTTCTGTCCATCCATGGCCAAGAAGCACATGAAAAGATGCTCAACATCACTAATTATTATAGAAATGCAAATCAAAACTACGATGAGGTATCACCTCACCCCAGTCAGAATGGCCAGCATTAAAAAGCCTACAAATAATAAATGCTGGAGAGGCTGTGGAGAAAAGGGAACCCTCCTACACTGTTGGTGGGAATGTAAATTGGTGCAGCCACTATGGAGGACAATATGGAGAATTCTCAAAAAACTGAAAATAGACTTAGCTCATGATCCAGCAATCCCACTTCTGGGCATGCATCCAGAGAAAACTCTAATTCAGAACGACACATGCACCGTAATGTTCATAGCAGCACTATTTACACTAGCCAAGACATGGAAACAACCTAAATGTCCATCGACAGATGACTGGATAAAGACGATGTGGTTGGTATATATTTACAATGGAATACTACTCAGCCACAAAAAAGAATGAAATAATGCTATTTGCAGCAACATGGGTGGACCTAGAGATGATCATACTGAGTGAAGTAAGTCAGACAAAGATAAATATATAATATCACTTACATGTTGAATCTACAGAAAAAAGATACAAATTCTATTTACAAACCAAAAACAGACTCACAGACAGAAAACAAACTGTGGTTACCAAATGGGAGAGGGTGGCAAGGGATAAATCAGGGGGTTGAGGATTAACAGACACACATTACTATAAATAAGATAGGTAAACAAGGACCTACTGTATAGCACAGGGAACTATATTCAATTTCTTGTAATAACATAATGGAAAAGAATCTGAAAAGAAAAATACATATGTATGTATATGTATAACTGAATCACTTTGCTGTACCCCTGAAACGAATATTGTAAATGAAATATGCTTCAATAGAAAAATGTTTTGAAGAAGCACATATGCTCTACAGCGAGTCCACCTAGTTTCAGATTCTGACTCTGACAATTTTGAGCTGTGTGACCGAAACTCTCTGCTCTTCAATTTACTCATCCAGAAAATGAATATACAAATAGTACTACATCATAGGTTTCCATATGGATTAAATGAGCTAAAACACATGTATATACATATATACAGCACTTAAAACACAGTCTAGAAAATAAAAGATTCTCCACATTGTCCTTCATCCTCTTTAATTATCCAAATATTACCCATCTTTCAAAATCCAGCTTAATTCTTTAACGAGCTTTTGTTTTGATCAATGCAAACCTTCCCTAAGTGAGCACAGCCTCGTAGATTTTCACCTCTTTTAATATCTTATTGCTTATTATGCATTATTTCAAATCGGCTCAATCTCCTAGAGAGACAGAGAGGGACTAACTTTTTTTTCAGATCTCTTTCAGCTAGCTCTGCCTCCAGAAAAAGAATATATCAATAATACGTGCCCACAAATTGTGCATTTATCCAGGGCCTAGTATGTGCTGAAAACTGAACACAGTCTCCCTCCTCCAGCTCCGACAGCGACGGAGGTGGGTGCAAAGTGTGAAGTATGTTCCCTGTGCGTTGGCGAACGCCTGGTCTGAATAGATCTGCTTTTGATAAACTATCATTAAAGACTGAGGGATGAGTAAATAGATGGATCGACATGAGACCTGAAGGGGGAGAAAAAAAGAGACCTGCAGAACAAAAGAGAAGAGTTTGCCTCTGGAAATGATTTAGTACACAAAGCAGAAGTAACTTTGGGAAGATATCGGCTTTACATCATCTGTAAGGCGTAGGAAGAGACTATAAAAGAAGCATGAGTGGAGATGAAAATCCAAGGGGCAAGATGCTGGTTAGGAATATGGAGGGAAGAGAATTACTGCGGTGAGGAAGTGCGGACAGAGAGAGAGAGAGGAGGAGAAGGAGAGGTGGATGCTGTGATTCTGCTCTGCATTTTAATTCTATTTCCTTTCAACTCCATGTTCATGGAGAGCAGCTAAGCGATTTTCTGCAGCCTGAGACTTATGTTCCTAATTAGACTCATTTATGCAACAACATTAGGAACATGCAACTGGTGGAGGCAATAGAAAGAAATGGGGGACAGTCAAAGGTCGATGCTTTGCCGGGGCAAATAAAAAACAGTAAGAATGGCTGAGTGCGATGCTCTCCTCGGTTCCTTGATCACTGTGACGACAAGAAACCCTACGCAGTGGAACCTCAGGATGACAGGTCTTGATCAAGGACATTTTAGACATGCTCCTGCTTCAGCATAGGGAGCTCTTCTTTAAAGTCATCCCCAAAAGATAACTTTCCTTGTATGTCTCCAGAGAGGAAGAGTCCAGTTTTATGAATGAGTTCTGCCAGTGGAACTATTCTGCCAATCATACTTCTACCTGAGATGCTATATTCTGCCAAGAGGTTTTCCAAAGAAGTGAAAGCAAGCCACAGATGGTTGACAAGATCTCTTATAAAAATCACTGGCTGGGAAGTCCTAAGACCTGAATTTTAGTTCCGTCCTTCCTTATTAATTTCTTCGCTGATTCTGTCCGCATCACCCAACTTCTGAGGCTTGGTTTCCAAAGCCTGAAAAGGACCAGCGTTAGCTTATCACCCAAAAGTGAGAACCACAAAGCAGTCACCAGGAGCACTCTTGGTGTATCTGTTATTTCTTCTAAAGGTAATAGACTTGAATGGTAAAACAGTTAAAAGGTAAGTTTCAAAATTAACAGTCAAAGTTCAAATGAGGATAGAAATTATGCAGATAATGCTAGTTTGCCTCCCTGTTCAGCACCACTTCCCACAGTCGCATCTAATGCCTCCTGCAAATTAAACTCCTATAAATGCTCAGCCTTCTAACTTACTTTCAGTTTCCTGGATTCCTTTATGCATTCTGCATACACGTCTACCTATTTCTGTTTGACCATATTAATACCCATCCCAAACAGTTTTCCCCCAGGGGGACTAACCCATGGTCCCATAATGACTACGGAATTCTACAGAACCCAGAGTCGAAAACGATGACCTCAGAGATGATGAAAATGGTTCCAGTTTGTTGAAGACGGGAACACAGAGAGATGGAATCCTATCATGAATTTCCAAAGGGTGGTAGCTCTTAAGCAGCCTCTGTGACCTGATTTTCCCAATCTGCCATGAGGTTCCACTTAAACACACAACAGACGCACACAAAGCCTCAGCAATTGCCAAATTATATTATTTTAACTAGCAGACCAAATCTGAAAGCCTTAGGCAAAAGTTTTCACAAAGCACACACTGGGGGAAACGCCAGCTTAGATGACGATAGTTTTGATTAGGGGTTTGCCCACATTTTAAATAAATAAATAGTGACCCTCCTTACCACCCAGAATGGTTTTTCCTTGAATGGAGTTATTACTTAATGGAAAGACAAACATGGAAATTCAGAGCAGAAGTGTTTTACGCATTGATATTAAAACATGAGAAATGAACCCAGAAAATGAAGAAGTCGAGGAAACAGCTCCTTGTCGTCTGCTGCTTCCCCTTGGTTCTACATCACGCCCCTTTACATGCTCTTCCCTCAGCCTGGGGTAGACCCCCTACCATCCCCCTGCCTCCTGGTAAGTTCCCCATCTTCAGATATCCCTCCTCCGTGGATCCTGTCCCAGCTCCCTTATCATCATCCTTTCACCTGAGCCTGCATCTCTGACTCTGTCCTGCATCACAGCTCATCTCACGAGGCAAGAGCACGCGCCCTGGAGTCAAGGTCCCAGGTCTCAAATCCAGGCTTCCTTGGGCACGTTACTGAACCTCGTGCCTCATCTGTCAATTGGGATGATAATAACGCCCTCTTTGGGGTATGTTGAAGAATTAAAAAGACAATCTACGTCCAGGGTTTTGTGCAGTGTGTGGGACCAAATAACCAGGCGATATGTGGCTTGCTTTCACCACATTTTTTTTTCATTTCTCTATTTGGGTATATTTTATTCACCTTTGTATCCTCAGCAGCAAACATGGTACCTAGCACAGTGTGGGCACTTAAAAAAATTTTTTTTCATTTAACAAATGAATGACTATATACAGTGCCTCACACTTTAAAAAACTTTTCATATATGTGGTCTCATTGGCACTGTCCTCCAACCCTCAGAGAAGCAAGGCAGGACTCCTCCTTGGGAGGAGCACCTTTCTCTGTCTCCATGCACAGCTTCCAGTCATGGGACACCCTCTGAGCTCGAGGATGATCAGAGGACCAGATTGGACCAAATAAACGATTGCTGGTGATGTTGCGGTTTGAGGAAAAGACCAAGGGGCAGAAAACAGATGGAGCAATTTCAGGCGATGGAAGCACCGCTGGAAAAGTTTAGCAATGCCTGGAATTCTAGAAGCTGCCCTTATCCAGTCCTTCCTTCCCTCGAGTTTTTCTTTTTAAACAACATTATTGAGTCATACGATTGAACACAGCATCACCAGCCCTGAGTTCTAGGTCTGTCTCTGCCATTGGTAACAGTGGGCAAATCTCTTAATCTGAGCTTCAAAGTCAATTAAATGGGAACAATATTACCTGCCCTGTTTACCTGAGAGGATTGGGGCAAGGAGATTTCGTAAACGACGAAACAAATACAAAGCATCAGTATTCTCTGTGTCCTGGGCAGTAGACCATTGCCTTGGTATAGATGAAAAGCTGGCTTGGACCCAGCACACTGCCATGTGACCAGTACCTAATCAGTACAGACTCCCTCTCTTGCCAGGTTCTCAACTTGTGTCCTGAACCTTCGGCTATTGCCCCACCTCACAATCTCCTTCCTGACCTACTGTTGATCTCTTTGGCTCCCACCCCTACACATACTTCCTGTCTGTCGCCTGAGATTCTCCCCACGCCTTGGCTGACCTTGGCCCACCTTGGATACTGCTCCCCGAGCACGGTTAGCTTTGAACCACCAGCGTGACAGGAACTTTGGCTTTTCTGGGTACTTTGAACATGACAAGGATGGGCATACGGACCCAAGGCTCAGGCCAGGTCCCATGGTCAATGAGGAACTGCTGCTTCTTCGGTCATTTTGTGACCTCTTTATTCTGCCTGCTCAGAACATGTTTTTCAGAGCATTTTCTGTTACCCAATAAGTCTCAGCAATGAAGTTCAAAGCCAAGCCTGAGGACAGTCCCTGCTGGGAAGGGCTGTTAGCATTTTCTAGCTGTATTAGTTTTTGTATTGATGATGAGGGAGTTCCCATGAAGTTCAATCACTGGGCACTGTCCCCAGAGCTCAAGCCGCTCCTCTAGAGAGTGGCTCTAGAAAAACTGAATGGAGAGAAACCAGGGTAGATTCTGTCCTCGTGCCTGGGGGCAAATCTTTCACTGGCAACAGGGGGAGTGCCTCCTTCACCCCCTGCCAGGCATTCTTCTAGAACCTTCTTTGGCTTCAAGAGTTTTGCCCTGTTTCTGCTACAGCCCACAAAAGGCATCTTCTAGGTCTTCAGAGAGATGATTTACAAGTCAGAGGGAGTCAAAGGGTGAAGTGGGCTTAGGAGGGTAAAATCTTAACACCCTACATGGGAAACTAAAAATGTAGAAAGAGGACTTGGGGAAACCTGCTTCAGTTCCCAGGTAACTGGATTCGGGTCCATCAGATACACAAGAAGGGCAGTGGAAGCCGGGGGCCAGCAAAGGCAGAAGCAGCCCCTCCCTCAGACGTGGACTCGGATGCGCCCTCCCTCCTGCGGCCTGAGTTCACTCCTGCCAGGATCCCCTGACAGTCCCGCCCGCCAGCTGTCTGCAGCTGTGTGCCTTCCAGCTCCTCACAGCTGGCTTTGCAAAGAGAAAACGGCCTGGAAGGCAGTTTACCTTAGGACATGCCATGTGTTAAAACAGGGTTCTAAAAGCAGCTATTAAGCAGAGTGAATTGCAGCGTTAAATACAAAAGGTGCACTCAGCCCAAGGCCTTGGGGGCGTTTAGTAGGTCCTCACTCAGTGAGTGGCAGGTCTTCCCTTCATTTCCTTGTCTCTTCTACCTTACATTCATGCTGAAATGCAGAACAGTTGGAAATACTGTAGAGCATTTTCCCGGGGGGGGCTCCAGAGTCCCCTTCCTGGTGCTCACGGATGCTCCTGTGGGGTGCACACACGTGGGGGCCTGAGTTTGGGAAGAAACCTCCCTGGGGCTGCAAGAAAGTTCTGTGCATGCACACAGAAAGCACGACTCGGATAGCCTCCTAATATCCATCTGATCTGGCCTACATTCCAAGTTCAAGACCCTGTAGGAGAAGAAGGGGTTTTAAGGGTCTTTCCCCCCTGAATCAGCCTGGGAGTTGAGTTTCAAGCTTTTACGAGGCAGATCGGGTTGGGTTCAATAACCCAATTAGAAGTGAGTCCTGGTGCAAACAGCCGTCCCCGCTGTACCCTGTTTTCATTTAAATCAGATGCTCTGCTTCCCGGACTGTTCTTAGTGACATACATTTCAACTCTTGACTCCGGGTTGCTTTGAGTATGAAGCGCAGGCGGCCGGTGGAACCTCACTGCATAAACAAGGGGGCTTGTTGTTGTTTAGAATGTTTTAAACGCCATAAACTCCCAACCTGCCTGCTTTTCAAGGTTAAGTTCATGTCTCTGCCAGGCTGTTTGTTCAGAGCTCCATAATTCTAACAGACAGTGAGGGGGAGATTTGGAAATATGCATCTATATTATATTATGTTATACTCCTTTCCTCATGTACTTATTCCCCTGTGACCTCAAAGTGATGGCTTGTTTGCCCCTTTTTTTTTAATCTGTCCCTTCCTTTCCTCCTTCCTTCCTTCCCTCTTTCTTCTCTACCCTTCTCCTCCTCCAGTCTTTATTTCCGGAGCACCACCTTCTGTCTCAAGACACAGCCTCCCTTCCGCCAGGTTACATAAACATCGGGCAGCCTGCTCTCTGTCCCTTGGTGAAACACCTTCTTCCAAATTGTGTTTTCCCTTAAGATTTGACTCCTCAGAAGTAGCGGAGCTCAGGGGAGGCTGGCAGACCCAGGCATGAGGGAAGAGAGACAAAAGAATCTTGTTTGGCAAAGTCGCAGACACACCAACAGTAAATCTCACCAAAGCCCTTTTCAAATCTGGAATGATTTTCATGCAGCTGACGAAGGTCGGGTTGTTGAGCTGTGCCTTCCGGCTTCCTGATCCTCTCCCCCCTCGCCAGCCCCCACCTCTCCTCCTCACTGAGCGGAGAAACAGAGCGCACAGGCACTTAAAGGAGGAAAATGGAGAAAGAAAGAAAGGAGTTGAAAACCCGAGGGAGAAGCATACAACATCTTGCAATTTTGGAGTCAGGTACAGACCCGGAGGCTGGGTGGTTAATATCTTCCCTGCCTTGCAAACTCTTTGTCTTTCTGAGCCCCTGGGCACTGGCCCACTTGGGCTGTGAATTCTGTTGTCCCTGGTCCAGGTCCAGCCCCAGCCCCCTAGCCTGGGCAGATTCCACCTACATTCCTTCAATGCCCTGGTGGGGAGGGGGACTCCGGGGGACTCAGGGGAGGGGGAGGCAGGGCAGCCCCCGGGGACCGTCGGATATACAAGACTCTGCATCATTGCTAGGAGTTTAGCCTGTTCGTTTTGAAGTCTGCCCAAAGTTGCAGAGTTGAAATGCCTGAATTTAACACCACTTCCCTCACCACACGCTCAGCCAAATGTCCTTGGCTTTTCAATAGACCTAACCTCTTGGCACTACTGAGTCTTGATGTTTTGCATTCTTTTTTCTCACATATTTAACCCTCAACGGGCCCTTCTCCGACTGAAGCTTCATCCACTATGCAAATGCCTTACTTCCTGGGAAGAGACCCTCCCTTCCTCCCTCTCTCTTCCATCTTCTTTTCTTTCTTTCACTTTTTCAGGAGTGGGGAGGAAGAGCCAAGGAGGAGCCCTTGGAAACTCTGCCCAGAGACAAGGCATCTCAGGAGTGTGTCCAGTGCAGGGTGTGGGATGTGGGGCATGCAGCACTGGTGTGGCTTAGCCACTCGGCCCAGAGAACAGAATTCTCTTTCCGCAGCGCTCCCCAGTTCCTCTGTGCGGTACTTGTTGAAGTAGCTTCAGAAAGCTAGAATCTGATCCTCGTCCCCAGGCTTGTCCCAGGCTCTGGCACCGACCACAGTCTTCAAGTGTTGCTCCTTGAGTAGCAAAATGGACTTATTGTTGAGTTGTCCCCTTGTGCCCTTACAAATGCCCTTCAGGAGACCTTCATCTCGGCCCGTGTCTACCACCGCCAAGTCCCTCTTTTACTGCCAGCTAGGACTGGTGTTAATTTTCATAGCTTTGCCTCCGCTTTTTAACCACCCTGGGTTTCACCCCCCGAGGAAGCCCAGTGGACTTGCCCAAGCGCAGGCCTGGTGGGGAGCGGAGCAGCAGGGCACACTGATGCGTGCGCCACTGTTGTTTGCACACACGGGCTGTGCCTCACTGAAGACAGCAGGTCAATTACTGTAAGTGAACAAGCAAATGTGATTTTACACGGACAGTATTTTTTTTCCCAAAACCAGCCCACTGTGAAATCATAGGATCGATCCAATCATTTTTCAGGTTTTTTGGTTTATCTATTTTTGTTTTGTCATCATAAAGCTGGTTTATAAAGGTTTACTCTTAAACCTCAAGTTGATCTTTCTTGATCTCCATGTTTCTTCAGCAAGAAGCCCGTTCGTGGAGTTCAGCTGCCAGGAGCTTGCTATCTTTCATCCTTTATGCCTGCGAACAACCGTGATTATTGCAGACCTTTTCAAGAACTTTCTCTGCATCATGCAGCGTGCGGAGGGCTTCTTACACAGCATCTTGTTTAATCTCCAAATGACCATATGACGTGGCTGCTCTGCTAGTTAATTTCACAGCAGTGGAAGCTAAGGCCCACGTCGGTATGTCACCCGCCCAATGGCTCTGGTTGTTCACCTGTGTCTTCAAGCACCTTGTGGGAAGAACATTCTCATCCTTACCCTTCTGTCCACCACGTGGCATATATTGTCAGCTCTGCACACAGTGGATGCCAGATTACTACCTGTGAATAGCCACTTCCCAAGAGGAAATTTTAAAAACAAAGACAAAGAGACAATCAAAGCATGTTGTATGATTCCTTCCAAATCTACTGTCTTGAGGTCCCCTACAAACCACTCCCAGACTCGGACGGAGTGGTGGTGGTTCTGCAAGAAGCTAACAGTGACCGTGGCGGTGTCTCTCCCTTCAGATCTCAGTGCCACAACTGGGGATTCCAAACCCATGGCTGTGAACTATCCGTACAGACATCCACCATCCTCTGTCAGCTAAAGTGTCATCTTTCTCCTGGCTCATATTATAAACCTCTCAGCTCTATGTGAGAAAGAAGTACTTGGCTGGGTGTAGCACGTCTGCAGGAGCCATCAAGTGGAGCAGATCCTGGGTGTTTATGTTTTTCCAGGGCTCAGCATGCCAATTCCACATCAGATAGCTTCTTAGGTCTAAAAACCCAGATGTCACTGGCATTAAGTCCACGCATGGTCAGGCCACTCGAGGTGGCTGTTCTCTTGCTCTCTAGACATCCATCCCCTGCTCCCCCAGCGCCTACTTCCCCTCTGCCCTACTCACAGGACCGACCCCCTACATACTTGCCCCAGACGCCAGCTAGGGGTTGTTCTATCCAAGGGGTGGTGAGGGGCGTGCCCCTGTGCTGGTTTCCCTGGTAACTGATGAGCCAAGCCGATGTCAATTCCCCCTACAACTGGCAACCTCTTTCTACCCTCAAGAGCGAAGACTGCCTCCATGTCCTACTCACTGTCCACCACACACAGTGGGGTGTCACTCCAGGACCATGCCTCAGATGTATAAGATCGCCCTGTCCATTAAACCACTGCTTCTCTGTTGCTGACTCCAGGCTCTTCTGCCTTGAAGCTGGGGTGCAGACCAACAGTCTTATCTGTATCCTTGAAGTCTCTTTCCCTTGCCATCCTCCACATCATTGGTTAGAACAATAATGACCAAGAAAACACAGGGTCAAGCCAGTCTTCAGTGCCCCAGAATTAAGTGGAGCTCGTGCTATTGTAGTCCCTCTGTCTTATCAGTTCATTGGAAATTGTTAGTGTGTCCCTGAATTATGTCTCAGATTTCCGTTGTTGGCTCCGTTTCCAGCTCAGGCTCAAAGGAAGTCCCATGCCTAGTTCTCTAGACCAGCTGAAGATACTTGCCGCAACCCACAGTGACTAATTAATTTGGTTTTACCCTGGATGTAGAGTTTATCACAAGCTGAATAACTCCAGTTCCATCTATCGTCAGAGGGTACCCATTGCCCAGGTTGGCTGCTGAGAACCAGAAAGGGCAGAGGAAAGAGGAAAGGCCTCCCCGGAACACTCAGTTACTCCAAGAAAGACTCTTCTAAGAAAGAGTCAAGGCCAGTCGTGCCCTTCACTGGAACAAGAGCCAGAGACACAAGAGGAAAGAAGAGACAAGGTGGTCCTGACACCCAGGAAGCTTCAAGACTCAGACGGCGGCATGAGCAGAGGAATAGGATGCGCCACCACAAGAAGCAGAGGACACAAAGAAGACATGACTTTAATAAATTGCAAATTATACACACTAGCTGTCTCCCCTCTGTCTACCCAGTGATGACATCAGACCATGGGCTAAAGCGTGAAGCCAGAGGGGTAGATGGGCCCAACAGCTGGTCTCACCGCCTTGGCGTGCCTCTTGGACTCTTCAGTTTGAACCCCCCTTGTTAGTTTGCAGCAGGGAAGAAAATAAACAAAAAGGCAAGACGATTAATTCAGTGCTGTCCTCCAGATTCTTCCAATAAGGTCACAGTGTCGCAATGCTTCATCCTCTGACCTCACCTCTCCGGACTCCCATCGTCACGTGGAGTCCTTTGTCATCCTTCCTTTTTCAGCTGCTGTTTACTCTGGGCTTCTGTGCTTCAGAAAGCTGACACTTGGGATGCAGAGTGACCTAGACCTCCCTGGCGGGCTGCTTCCCTTTCGGTCCCGGTTAGGTGGGTTGGGCCTGCCCCCATCCCTGTTGCTGGCCCGCTGCCCTGCTCACCTGACCAGTGGCACAATGGGAGACGCCGTAAGTAGGTCTCCAAGTGGAATCACAAGGGAAAGATGCGACGGTCTTGAAGAGAAGGCCACACAAGTAAGAAAAGAAATGGAAGCAGGAACAATGATGCACCCTGACCAAACATGCGATCAAAGGAAAGGCTGAGCGAAGAGAAACTGGAGGGCTCCAAGACAGAGATGTGGGGGAGTGTCCCTACTCCAAGACGCTGCTTGAATTCACTTCCACTGAAACACCAAACAGATCTTTTAAAAGCCCCAAGCTAGAGCATGAGAACACTGGTTGGGAGCTCAGACTCTGCCTGCTTCTCAGCACTGCCTCTCACCAGCTCGGTGACCTCAGGGAAACCACTGAGTTACAGGTTCCTGTCTGTAAAGTGGGGACAGTCCTACCTACCTCCCAGGAATGTTTCAAGGTTTAAATGAGATCACAGCCCGAGCACTTCTCTAGCACCTACTATGTGCCAGACATTGCTCAGGAACTTGCCCGAGGTCATACATCTAGGAAGCAGCCAAGTGGTGATTTGACCCCAGGGAGGCTGGTGCCAGTCTGTGTCCTTATCGACCGCACCTCTCACTATAACGCTCATAAATCACTCAGCCAGGTGCCTGGAATATGACAACAGCATCGTACATGTCGGCTATCATTTATCATTATTTGCCTTACGCCAGGCGTAAGAAAAACCTTCTTGTCAATAGGGACTGGGGGACAAGAGAGGCTCCAGGTGCAACGCCCGGAGCGCTGAGTGCCAGCAAAGTCGTTCTGGGAGAATTCGTGAAGAGAGGTTCAGCTGTTCCCTGGAGCTGTGTCTAGCTTCTCAAGTTTTCTTGGTTTAGCACCGTCCTCTCTTCTCTTTTCCAAGACTGACTCAGAGCTCCGGGTCTCAATGGAGAACCAGAGATGATCCTCACCTTCTCATTTTATACACAAGTGCATTGAGATCCGAGTTATAGCATCTGATCACAGAAGCTTTGTAAATTAGCGACAAAGCTGATCCTTGAACAAAAGTCTCCTGATGCCCAGATAATGCCCTGCTTCTTAAACCTAGAGCCAATGTGTACATACGCCAGATTTTTCTAGATTTCAAAGTGTCTTGTCCATTGTGTGCTTAAGTGCAGTCCTCTTCGCTAAATAAGTGATTGAATTATTGATTAGGAAAATATGGTTACGACAATGATTCATCACATGGAAGACAGTTACAGAATCTCTCTCTCCATTTCCTTCTAATGGCCCACAGGGGTGGGGAGGTGGAGCCTAAATCAAAAGGTCCCTAATTACCTACCACAATCCCTTTGGTCTTCCATGGTCCTGAGGTTTGAGGACCTGTTTGGCAGCGCTGAGACCCAAAAGCCCACATTGAATTAGGTCATTCAAGTGCTCCAGGAGGGACATGAAACATTGAAATTAAGGACCTCCTTCCACTCCTCCCAAAAGACCCTTCGCCTTTAAGGACTCCTTTTAAAAGCCAGCGAGTTTTCTCTGATCCTCCCTAATAAAGTGCCCCAGCCGCAGCGCTCCCCTTCCTTATTTGAGATCTGTGCAGTCTCATTAAATTTGATGTGTCGCAGAGGGCTTGGCCACGTGAAAGGGAGGCTGTGGGAGCAGAACTGGAGGATGCCAGCTTTCCTAAGGAAACGTAATTCATTACGGCTTTTCAAAATGGACGCCCCTCTGGCTTCCTGCTCCATTGATTTCTCCCCCTTTGCAAGTTACAAGCAAAGGGCCAGCTCAGCCTGCAGATTTAACCCTTATTAACAGCCGTTTAAATTAGAGATGCGGTTTGATGGAGAGACAGGAGCCTTCGCAGATCCCCACTCAAAGGAAACCGAGAAGAGATGATTAAAGATGAAAAAGGATGCAGTCGGCTGGGGTGAGGCTGAAGAGGCGGCATCTACCCCCGTCCGAGGAGGGGCTCGCACCGCTGTTAAGTAGTTTATCCAAATAATGTGGGTCTACTTTTCCCTGATTAAATATTCATGACCTACTCCTTCCTCCCCCGCCCTTTGGAAAGAGTAATGGAGGAAGGAATATTTGCTCTTCTAGGTGAAGTGATGGACAGGAGGACCGAGGCAGACCGCCAGCAGGCTGGCTCCCGACCTTGACCGCTGCCTCCTCGGCAGGAGTGATGTAGAGCACCTTGGGACGACCTGCTGGGCTGCAGGCTCCCCTGAGACCCTGGAGCGAAAACCTCAATGCTTTGGTGCCCCTGCATGGCAGAACCCGAAGGAGACCAACCTGCTCCAGGGTCCGAGCCTGCAGAACAGAGACCAGACCCATCAGGCAACGGCAGCCTCCACCTCTGTCTGTGGGGACCAGTGCATGCAGGGGCCCCACAAATAGCCAGGGAGAAAAACTGCAAGAGCGGTGCTTGGATAAAGGGAGGAGGCAGACGTCCAGGACGGGGCTGCTCCCCCCAGCCTTAGTTCCAGTTTTACGTGCAGCCTCGGAATGCCTCAGACTCCTTACTAACCCTTCGTGGTCTCAGGGGTACCACTGGCATTGTTCCTCCACATTTCTCCCTTAGCAAAAGAACGTGGGGCATCACACTGGGTAAGCAGACAAAGCCAGACTTCCCTGCGCATTGGGAAAATGAGCCACGAAAAAGACACCTCAGGGAAGGATGTGGACAACGTGTCCCCTCAAACAGCAAAGCCCACTCTGTTCAGATAATGCTAACAACCGTCACCTTCCCTCTAAACATAAAGACAATAACCCTCAGGATCAGGGTCCTAGCGTCTGGAAAATGCATGTGTGCCAGCACTGCTGTAAGAATGAAAAAGCAGCGAGGTGGCTCTCTCACGCTCATGCTCTACAAATTTATTTCCCTGACTTGCAGCATCTAACTCAAGGAATCTAAAGAGAAACATTCTATGATGAAAATAAAAACAAGAGAGGCTTAAGTAAACCTGGCGCTGACAGCTCTGGCATTACATATTAAGTGAACGAGGACATCAGCTCACTCGGTTCTTACTTTACTTCATTTAGCCAAGGTGCATAGAAGATTTTTGCGCGAGGGGGGGGGTGAGTCTAAATTTTATCAGAGCAGCCCGGAGAGCAAAAACGTCAGTACACCCTAGTTTTCACTCCACAAAGAGTCATTCTCTCCCCAACCCCAAGTCCCAAAATAAAACAGGAATATATAGAACGCATGGCAATGCCCCTCCACATCTTCCTCCGCTGGCTTTGGTGACACTGACGCAAGTTTTTCTGGGAGACGCAAAGTCTACACAGACGTCGGTATAAATAGGGTTTTCTTCAAACTGTTTGGAAACAAAGTTTTAAAGTATTCACAGTGTCAGAGAAAGTTATGCCAGCTTGTTCTCTCAGAGATAAAGGTTTCCCCCTTTTCTGGGTAACTGACTGACACCATCAGGGGAGTGCGCCCAGATGAGGCACTGGGAAAATAAACTATGCATTCCCAGCGTATGTCCAGTCCAGGGACAGATGAAGGGAGGTACGTGCCGTGAGAGCTGCCAAGAACTTTCAGGTTCAGAACAAGTGTCCAAAGCAAGACGCAGACTTGGCAAAAGCCCTTTCCTCTTAATTTCAAACACGCGCATATGTGCAGGGAAATGTAATCCCTGTTTTTTTCTGAGACGCTTTCCCTTTCTAGAACACCCAGGCCCTGCTGCGCAAGCACGCACCACATGAAAAAGCAGCTCACGACGTGGAGGCAACTTTCCCGCCACACGAGAAGTTACTCCCACAGCGGGAAGGAGGCGTGTGCTGTAAGAGGTCTTTGGCTCAACTACACCCTGTGCTCCCACAGTGGACTAGTTCTCTGACCCCTGAAAATGTACGGGATGATAAATGTAAATGGGGGGACTAGGGAAGGAAAGAAAAAAGCGAAGTGCTATTACTGAGCATTTAGTATGTCCCAGAAAGTGCTTAAGAACTTAACATACTGCCTCACGTTGTCTCATTTAATCTTTGCAACGACGCTCTGAGATCAGTTATCTCTTCTTTTTTCACTTAAAAATGCAGACCCCAAGGACCAGATGGGTTGGCTAAATTCCAAGGCCCAAGGGGCTGAGCAAGGGCTGGGATCACAACATATGACTAGTTGTGAAGCCGCTCTCTTTCCATCCTACGACACTGCCTCCAGCGGCAAAGGTCTTTAGAGACCACAGAACCAAACTCTGCCGAGGTCACAAAGGCCTGGAAACCAGAATCTTGATTCTTAGCGCAGTCTCTTTGCATAATAGCAGGACAAGTGCTGTGTTCGCTTCAAAATGCTTGTTTGCTCCATTCTAAAATGAGTCCAGGAGTCTCCTGCTACAACACTTAGCGCCAAGTGCAGTCAGACACAAGCCATACTATGCAACAGTGATGACAGTGATCAGTCATATGGGCCAATTATTTCAACAAATAGTTACGTGTGCCCACTGTACTACAGAGATCCTCGGGTAAAAATACACACCCATCCAGGCGTAGCCTCAGCCTGGCCTCCTATCCCCATTCCCAGTACCCTTTGCCTACTGTCCACCCAATTACATTGTTATCATCAGAAGCTAAGAAAACATCGTCAAAGCAAAAGCAGACATAGATACTCACACAGCGGAGAGGCGGTTTGAATTCCCACAATGGAGGTAGAAGGCATGGTCGGCAAACTCCTTCCCTGACCACTAACAGGCACCTGCAACCTTCCCCTGGCCTCAAACTCAGTCTAACTTCAGCTGAGCTCTCTCTGCTTCTAGTTGAAAGCACAGAGCCCGCCCACCTTGCTTTCTTCCCCTGCTTTCCGCTTCAGTCAGCCCCACCTGTAGCGAAATCCATTTTCCATCCACCCGTCATAGTCTACACCATCTTCCCAACTAGCCTCTTCTTCGGTGTCGTATGGAATCCTGCTCTGAGTAACGAGCAAACGCCCGCGTAGCGGCAGATCCTGACACCAGCCTGCTGTCCACCTCTGTCTCAGATGGAAACGTGGCTTTCCCTTCACTGTAAGTGGCTCTCAGACCCCTTTCCCGTAGCTGTTTCTTCTTCCCCGACCCCAACTCAGAGGTCACATTTGCTCTCAGCTTACCTTGCGGAGCACGGTCCTTCCGCCATCACGCAAGAGTCCTTCTGCTTTGCAACTCTCGTCTCTCCCTCCTTGTTGTACCTTTCCGACCCTCTACGCCTGGAACACCCGAGGCGCCATGAGCACGCTAGGCTTTTATGGATGACAGATGACCTAAGCCTCGCGAGATCTCCAGCTCCTCACATCAGTGACTTTCACCTGCCTTCTGTTTCACCCAGCAAAACAGTGGCTCTCCAAGTATGGTTCTTGGCTCACTCACATCAGCATCACCTGAAACTCGTTAGAGATGCACCTCTCAGCCCCACCCTAGACCTGTGGAATCAGACTCTTTAGGGGCGGGGCCAGCAATCTGTGCCCTACCAAGCCCTCCAGGTGATTCTGATGCGCAGAAGTTTGAGAACCACTAGTGCAGAGGATGCCCCCACCATGGACCACGGCATTAACTGGAGCTTTTCGACTCTTAAGATCTGTGCTTCACCAACGTGTCATCATTTTTCCTATTCTCTCAACTTTGTTAACCTAATATTTGCCACGGTCTAGAAGCCTCTTCTGGCCTCACCTTCACTCAGTCTGGACCCCAGTCAGCCATTTCCATGATGCCTCTAAGACTTGCATTTGCTACTTAACTGGTAGCCTCTAAATTTGGACTTTTGGCACAAGCTATAAAATTGTGCTGATTGATTCCAAGCTAGCTATCTTATCTGGGCCACTGCTACTGGCTTATAACCTCAGTATTCATTTCTTTAGGATCTTTTCATTTGCTCTTTATGGTATTTCCAACAGTTACCTGCTTTCATCCATACTGACATTTCTACCTAAACTTCCACACTTTCAGCCAATGGTCTTGACTCTCAGTTTACTAAGAATAAAGTCACCCAGGCAAGTGCCCTCACTTTTCACCCACTGCTTTCCAAGTCATCTCTAGAGCTGCTTCTCCTGAAGTAGAAGCATTCTCCTCTCTTGGACTCTGAATCTTCTCACCTATGACTCTACCAGAACCTCGCTCCTCAGGAAGCCAGTGGAATGCAGGGCCTCCAGAAGGGATGTTCAAGACCACAACTTGCCAGAGGGTAGAGGAGGCTGTCAGTGATGAATAGTGTCACATGCCAGAACCAGGTCCAGCAGAGTGAAACTGAGGGAAGGTTATTTTCTTTGGACCTTTACTAGATAACCGGTTCCAAGATTGCTGTTTTAGTAGAAGGGTGAGGACGAAGACAGATTGGAGGAGGGTAAGAGAATAAAGCAAGGATGTAAGGGGGTATACAGCCCACTATTAAGAGAAATTCAGCCATGTAGCAAAAGATGAGAGTAGAAATGTAGCTAAAGAGACTGAGGACTCAACAGACAGCCTTCTCTCCACCACTGCTGAGATCTAGGTCTGTTCCATGCAAGGGAAAGCGGTCAGCAGAGAAGAACAGAATAAAGACACTGGGAGGTGGGATAATTAAAGGAAAAGGTCCTGCAAGGGACACAAAGACGTGGAAGAGAGAGCAAACCTGGAGAGGCTGTTCATCCGGACTCTTGGCTGCAAGTGACAGTGTATCTTCATCAACCAACTCAGGCCAGACAAAAATATCCCGGCTCACATGACCAGCAAGGGGAGGGATGCCATTATACATCTGCCCAAACCCGTAAAATGTACACCACCAAGAGTGGACCCTAATGGAAACTATGGGCTTTGGGTGATAACGATGCGTCAGTGTAGGTTCATCACTTGTAATAAATGCCCTGCTCCAGTGGGGGAGGCTGTGCCTGGGGGGGAGGGGCAGGAGGCATATGGAATGTCTCTGTAATCTCCCTGTCAATTCTGCTGTGATCTTAAAACTGCCCTGAAAAATAAATAATTATATTTTAATAATTTAAAAAAGACTTTATAGCAAAAAATTAAATAAATAATGTCAAGTGTCATAACCCGGGTGTAGAGTGTGGTCCTTTCACTATGTCAGTATGGGAGCCGCGAAGCTCAGCAGAGGGTATCCGGACTAAGGTTGGTCTCCAGTGAGTCCGTAAAAGAGATTCCCCGGTCTTCATATGGCTAGGTGTAATGAATTAAAAACGCAGTAAATTCTTTCACGTGCCTTTCACCAAGAGGTACAGCCTACGGCCCCTCCCCTTGTGCTGGGGCTGGCCTGTGATGGTTTTGCTCTCCAGAGTGTGTCAGAAGAGATACTGTGTTATTTTCCAGTGTAGCCTTTAAGAGAACTTGGTCTCTGGGAGTCCAAGGTGCCAAATAAGAAGTCAGCTGGTAAGATCACGGGGAGAGGCTCTGAGCTACTTAGGGATGGAGAGGAACCCAGCCACCCTCACTGAGGTACCAAGCATGTGAGTGAAGCTGGCTTGGGCTCTGACCAGCCCCCAGCCAAATGCCACCAAGTGGCCCAGTTGATGCCAACCAGCCAAGCACTGCCCAAATGTCTGACAAAATTGTGTGATAAGATACAGTGGAGTTGTTTAAAGCCTCTGATTTGGGGAGCAGTTTGATGTGCAGCAAGAGATTCCTGGAAGAGCAGGCAAAAGCAGAGAAAGGACACTGCAAGTTCTGGAAGCAATCAGCAAGAGACTGGAGATCACAGTGCAAGGGCAGTCCAGGGAGGGTGAGGGATGGATAGGCATGATAAATGAGCAAGTTGATGAGGGGATGAAAGCACGTGACAGATCTGCTCTGACTTGTGCTAGGATGGACACTGCTGGCTTCCCAGCTCCTGGGTTAGCAGCAGATGAGATAGTCTGCTGACACTGACAGCCAGCAGCACCTTGAGACCCTCACACATGATGCTGTGCCCTCAAGGTGCAGAGGGGAGATGGACACAGCTGTGGTGGGTACCACAGCAGGTCAAGGAGTGAGGACCTCAAGGAATTCATGGAAGATGTGGGGATGAAGAAGACCTGGATGCAACAAAATGGTCAATGAGAAGGCAGAGGGTGTTAGCATCTCGATGAAAGTAAAGGTCAGCCTCTTAGGGAGTGGTTGTGAGTCAGAGTCCATTCATCATTCATTTATTCACTCAGCAAATACTTCCTGAGTGTCTGCTGTGTGCCAGTGTAATTCAAAGCTGCTTGGCATCTCTGCCTGAGAGTAAGACCAGGAAGGGAAAATGAAATTAATCAGGTCCACTCAAGAGAAGTTGAAACTAGTGGACAATGTGGTCTTCTGCATCTTCTATGAGACTGAGTTATGTTTCCATTGCCATTAAGAATCGAGGGTTTATCATTTCCTAATTATTTAGACACACTGGCCTCTGAAATATACCATCTTCAGAAGGATGTTAAATACTTTTTAAATGGCCCAGGCCCTATACAGATTGTAAAGAAAACCTGACTTCTGACCACTGCTGTCAGTCGAGAATGATGCACTTCCCCTTCCTGCACTTGTGTAATTATCCTGACAGATACGATGCTGACCACTCCTGTTGAGTACTCGTTACCTTTAGTCAACTGGTAAACATTTACTGAATACCTACTGTGTGCAAGACGTCAGGCTGGGCCCAGTAGAAACAATGATCATTAACACCTGTTGCTTATCTTCAAGAAAAGCTTGGTTTAGGATGAGAGAGAGGGACCCATAATCTGTAACAAAACCGTGTGCCAAGGATTAGGGTTATGAGGACATACTGTTCACAGTATGGGTTCAACTGGTCAGCCATACGGTGCTATTGTTACAGGAGAGATGGAGGAGAAGTTATGTCAATTGAATGTCTACTATTTGCTGAATATTTTACATATGTCATCTGATCCACTCCTCACAAGAGTTTACATAGTAGGTATCGCTTGCCCCAGGCCCTGTGGCTCAAAGAAGAATGCCACTTGCCCAGGGGAGGTGTTTAAAATCCTGGGCTAGGATCTCTCTCTCCAAAGCGCATCTATTTCCCCAATATTAATAATAATAATTTATTTGTCTATGTCTGTCTCTTAGGTCGGTTTGTATTCACTTTAAGGGTAAGAATCTCACCCGATTCATCTGTTTTCCTCCTTTGTCAAGTATATATTAGCTCATCAATAAATGTGCATTTCATAACCAAAATGAAGTACAAGTTTAACAAAAAGAGATTCTCTAGAAGCACACAGTTGGGATTCAGTTGTAAGAAAAAGAATGAGAGAGTATGCATGAATGAATGAATGAATGAATGACTCAAGGCCAAATGTGCTCTTGGCTCAGGACATTTGCACTGGCTGGTCCCCCATCTGGGATGATTTCCCCCCGAATTGTTACATGGCCCACTTCCTCGACACTCTCTTCAGTTCTCGGCTCAAATGTCACCTTATCAGTGTGACCTTCTCTGGCCACCCTATGTAAATAGCAACTACCCCTCCAGCTGTCACCTCCACATCCTGACCTGGCTCCATTTTTTCCCACAGCACTTACGACCACCTGACATGGGATGTATTTGCCAGTCCTGTCGCCGCATCCTGTCCCTGCACTGGGGCACACACCCAACGTGAGCAGGCGCCTTCTATGTCCTGGGTGCTGGCTGCCACCCCAGTGTCGTAGGTGGTCAGTGAATATGTTCCGGAAATGACCTTGACGATTAAGCACAGTCGTAGAAGTCAAATTCCTTCCTACTCGTTCTCTTGTTTTGCCTGGAAAATCGAATAATTTTATGAACCCTTTAAACAGTCCTGTGTTCCAGAAGTAGAGTCTTTCTATGAAAAAGCTCTGAGGTTGTCTTGCCTTTTCTTGTACGTCTTTGTCATGAACACACACGATGGGGTTCTGCTGGGACGGGTCTCTGCTTTTCCCATGTGTGGAAGCTGGAGATAAAACAGCAGGTCCAGTCTCTCCTCGGTGAACTGAAAGGTTAAAAGGCGCTCTTTCTATCCCTAAGAGGAGGGTGTTTTGACCCTCTCCACTTCTCTCCTCCACGTGACCCTTCGATTTTGGTGGAAGTTTAGAAGTTCAGTGAAATACTGTTTTGGCCACTATGATATTAGAAGAAGGAAAGGCAGAAACTGTGAAGGTTAATGTTGACTTCATAGCAGGACAGAAGAGGTGCCAACAGCCATGTTCGGGTTTTCCCTGTCTCCTGCGGATAGCTCACTGTCGAAATTCTTTCACTATAAAGGAAAGGCCATTCACTATCTTATGCAGGCTCTCTTTTTGTTTTGTTTTGTTACAGATAATTAGAGAAAGTACTCATTTCAAGATAGCATTGAAACATAACACTGTAATCATATTCACTGCAATGGAATTTTACCTTGATGATATTATCTACGTGGCAACCAGTCTCATTCCCCAGTTCTCTGTGTCTCTAATTACTTGGAGAAACATCCTGACACTGTGATATTTAAGGGCAGGTCCTATGTGACTAGGATGTTAACAGACTCTTAACGCAGAACCCTTAGGATTAAAATGAAGGCTAAGTGACTGAGCTCACGTGCCCAGCTGACTCAGTGGTCATACTTCATACGACGCTCCACAGTTCTCACGTTGTCATCACCACTCTCGGTATTAGGGAAAAAGTCCGAACTGGAATTTTCTCCAAATCACAGGTGAGCTTCCAAGAGGATCAACAATGTCTTAAGGTCGCAGAACTAGAGAAGATGCAGCCCACGAAAGGCCGGGGCTTTGGGCTCCTATGGCCTCCTCAACTGGCTGCAAAACGGCCCAGAAAAGGTGAAGCTGTGCCACGGGCTTCAGGCCTTCCCTTCCCTTCGGGACCTAATTTCTGGATCTCCACGTCAATAACCTGTCCCAGTTTGGACCGTATTGGAAAAAAAGTAAGAATTTGGGGAGATGATTCAAGATGAGAGCAAAAGTGGGAATTGCGCCCCCAGAAACCCGTGCCTGTGACTGCCTGGGGGAAAATTCTGAATCCTACACTGAACAGAGGGGAGCAGAAGTCCGCAGATGAGCTCCCTGCCAGAGCAGCCTGATTTCAGGTCTGGCCAAGCATTTACTCTCAAACTCTCGTGGATTCAGCCATAAATCATTGCTTCCCTGCTTAAATTCTTTCTCTGCCAAGAGGAGAGTTATTTACTTTATGATTAATAGTTCCCTGAAGCTATTCATGTAGGCGCATTTCTTTATCATCTCTCTCCTCTCTCTCTCCCTCCCCCCACCCCCCTCCACCTCACACCCCGCCTCATTTCCTCTGTTTCATTCTCTCTCTTTTTATCACGGCTTTTAGATCCTCAGTCTTGCTTGGGATATTCTTTTCTATCACTGCATTAAAAATGACCAAGAATTGGCACCTAAAAGCAACACAAATTTATCACCTCGAAGTTTCCGTAAGTCCGAAGTCTGGGGAAAGCGTGGCTTAATTCTCCATGCAGGGTCTCACTGGGCTGAAGTCAATAAGCCGCCTAGGGCTGTACTTCTTATCTGGGTCCTCTTCCAAGATCACTGGTTGTTGGAAGAATTCGTGTCCTTAAGGTCATTGGACAGAGATGCCCATGTTCTTGCTACCTGTCAGCCGAGGATGGCTCTCTGTCCCCACGTCTGCTGGCAGATCCCTGTCACGTGCTGCCATGGGCCATTCACAACGCGGTGTTCGCTTTCTTCGGGAGCAGCTGGAGACTGTCTTCCTGACTTTGTCTTCTACAACCAACTGGAGAAAACTTTGCTTTTAAAGGGCCAATGTGATGAGGTCAGGCCATCCACTGTGCCACGTAACACAACCCAGTCACGGCAGTAAAATCCATCGTTGACCCCATCCCAGCGCTGATGTAGGGCGTGCATACCAGGGGCCTGGGGAACCTGGGGGACCATCTGAGAAGTCTGCCTACCACACCTGGCGGCAGTGTGCTCCCTTTGTGTGGCATGCTGTATGCACACAAAAAAATCGTCTCTTTTTCTGTCCTCCTACCTGAACCATTCTTCATTTGTCCTCTGAGACGCCAGTTTCTTGAATCTAACTCTCTGGCTGCCCGTCTGGAA